ATGATGCAAATTCATTAAAAAATCCTGGAATCTTATTTCAGAAAACAGATCAACTGCTAGTGATACTAATTGAATAGAGTGAATTTCATCTTGAGTAAAAACCAGCTAAATAATACTAAAAAATTACAAAGTTACAAAATTACAGTACCTAACAAAAGTATTCTTGCACTGATAATTTTGATAGATCATTTATAGATTTCTATAAATTTTAATCATTAATATCTTTTTATTAATTAATAAAAATTCTATATTAGATATTGTATATTCATAAATTTTCATATCACAATATTCAATAATCTAATTTTAACATTCATTGATCTGATTTGAACAAAAATACTACTATTTGATTTATCTTAACTAATGAATTGAATAGTAGTATTTTTGTTCAAATTAAATTACTAAATATTAAAATATTGCATCTTAAAATAGCAAATTTATTTTTTTAATATAACAAAAATGAATTAATTAATTTAGAATATAATATCTTGATTTTCTATAATTTGAGTTAAATAAAAATAATATCATTCAATTTATTTTGATTAGATAAATCAAATAATATTATTTTTATTTGAATAGAATTACTAAAAATTGAAATATATATATATTATATTTAATTCATTTTTAGATAATTAATTTTTAATAAAAAATAATTATTGAATTATAAATCAATCATATTAGTATATAATATTTTGATATCTAGTGATCCAATTTGAGTGAAAATATCATAATTTGATTTGTCTAGATTAGACAAATTAAATAATAATAATATTGCTCAAATTAGATCACTAAATTTTGAGATATTATATTCTAAAGTAATCAATTTATTATATTTAAAATATGAAAGTTTATAAATATGCAATATTCAATATAAAATTTATTAATCAATAAAAAGATATCAATAATTAGTATTTGTAATATTTATATATTATGCAATAAAATTTTAGTAATCTATATATGACCAATTAAAAATTATCAGTACAAAGATATTTTTGTTAAGCACTATATAATTTTCTTCTTGTTTTTGTCCAAAAGCAAAAATATATATTAATTTTTTCAAAAAGTTATATTTTCATATTTATTTTTATTAGTACTTTAGTTCACAGATAAAATTTACTCTGTTCAATTAATTAGTACTTTGAAACTTTATTAATTTTATTTATTATTTAAAAGATGATAATAAACTGAATATTTTGCTTTTTTAGTGCTATAGTTTTTTAAAATAAAGTAAGTGTTTTAAATTCAAATAGCAAAAATTAAAAAAAATTTAATGAGAAGTAATAAAAAAAATTAATTTCAATTTTAAAAGATATTGATATATATTTTTTAGTTTGAAATATAAATCATATTGATATTAAGTTTAATATTTTATTAATAATTTATTTATATATAATTTTAGTATGTATAAATACTAAATTTGATATTCTTTTATATTTATTTGTATTCTATTTCATATTAAAAATAATAAAAAAGACATTAAAAATTATAATTTTATTAAATAGTATATATTAATTATAAAATATTTGATTAAAAATATTATTATAAATAAAATTTTTGTTAAAAAATATATATCTGTTATATCAAAATCTCAAATTTTAATTATAATATTATTAAATAATATATAATTATTAAATATTATACTAAAAAATATTATAAATCTTTTTAGTATAAATTATATTTAAGTATACTTTATATTCTTAGTAATATAAAAATTATAAATCAAAATATAATAAATATATATATAATATTATCAAGATAATATTAGTATATATAAGTTAATTTTGTTATATTTAATAAATACAAAATATAATATTATTTAAGTATTTATTTAAGTTATTAATTGGATTAATTACTATAATTTTATTGTGTTAGAGATAATTAATTATAACTTAATTATATATAGTTACAAAATTAATTATATTTATATATTTTTTAATATAAAATTATTAAATAATTAATTATAGTTAATTATAGTTAATTATAGTTAATTATAGTTAATTATAGTTAAATACAATTAATTATAGTCAATTATAATTAATAATAGTTAAATAATAGATAATAATAAATAATAAAAAATAATAAAGATAAAATTAGATAATTTCTAATTAATTATAGTAAATTTTGATTAATTATAATAAATTAAAGTAAATTATAAGAAATTACAAGAAATTATAAGAATTATAATAAATTATAAAAGTTATAATAATAAATAATAAGTCATATAAAAAGTTATATATATTAAATTACTTGTTTGAATTATATATAAAAAGATTATATAACTTCAAATTCATCTAATAGAAATATAAATAAATAAAATAATAAATAATTAATTTAAATAAATTTAAATTATTAAAAATATTAAATATAATAAATACAATTAATTATTAATTTATTAATAAATAAATATAATATAGAATATTTACTTATAATAGTATTGGAAGAATTAAATAAACAAAGAAAGTTATTATTAATCAATATAAAAAAAATAATAATCAAGAAATATTTGAGCAATTATTATTATTATATTTTTTTCATACTTTAATGTTGATTTATATAAATAATAATATCAAATTAAATTTTCAAATATTAGTTCATATTTCAAATTAAAACAATTTATTTTTTATTATAATTTAAACTCTTATTTTTTTAAAATATTTTTTATGTAAAAAGCAAAAAATTAAAAATTAAAAATTTTATTATATTATTATATAAATAATAATATAAAGTATTCTATATAATATTTTCTTTTATAAAAATTTGAATTATAATTTAGTTCAATTTTTTTAATAAATTCAATTATTTTTTTGTAAATAATTAAATTGAATTTCACTATGTAATTTTATAAAAATTTAGTTATTGATTTAATAACCTTAAGATTAAATTGAGATTTAAATTTTTTATAAAAAGAAATATTATATAAAGTATTTATAATAGTATACTTAAAAAATATAGTTTAAAATTCTATAAAATTATAATAATTTATATAATTTTTACTATAGTTTTTATATATAAATACAAATATATTTTTTCTTTTATTATCAATATATTATTAACTACATATATATATTATTGGTATTTGATATTAATCAAATAGTCATAATCAAATAGTTATATAATAATACTAAATTATAGTCCAGACACTCTTAATATTAAATAGATAATATTAATATCAGTGACCTAATATGTCCTATAATTTGCAATATAATATTAATAAAATATAAAAATTTTCTTAGTGTATAACTTTAATTATCAATATTATTATAGTAATAATTTAAAAAAATATTAATTCCAAAATATTTAAAAAATATTTATATAATAACAAAGATCTTTCAAATTATTTTACTTTTTATCTTTTATTTTATCTTTTATATTACTTTTATTTTTTATTTTATCTTTTTATTTTTTATCTTATCTTTTATTACTTTTTATATTCTTTTGATTAGTTATTTTATCTTTTAGATAGTTATTATTATTTGAAATTGTATTTTTAAAAAATATATAAACAAAAGTATTATCTGAGTCTTAACTTAACATGTTATAATTGAAAATAAAAATTTCTTTTAATAAAAATCTTCTTTTAAATATTTTCTGTCTTTTATTTTTTTATATATTTCAAAACTTGCATATAAGTGATTTTATATTATTATATTATATCTAACAAATCACTAATAGCTTTATATTATATTGTATTGAGCAAATTACTATTATTAATTTTGAACTTTATATCGTATTGTACTAAGCAAATTATTATTATTTAAATATTAAGCTTTATATTATATTGTGCTAAATAAATCACCGTATTAGAATTATTGAAATTGAATATTAAATATTTTAATTTTTGTTATTTGAATTTTTAATTATTAATAAATATTCCTCACTTGTGAGAAAAACAAAGTGAAAGAGTCTTTGTTATTATTATTACTAATAATATTATCTTAGTTCTAGAAAGCTCTATACTAATACAGAAAATTAACCTTTTAAATCTCTTTTATTATTATTTCATTCTCTTTTTTCTTTGATCTTTACTCTCCCACAACTCTCCCACAACTCTCCCATATTATTATCTCTTTTTAAATAAACACAATTTTCATAAAAATTGGCATAGTGCTTAGATATTCTTTTTTTCTTTTAACATTTTTATCAGTTTATTATTCTCTTAATCCAGGTTCAAGTTTGTAAGCTAATTTAATGATTAGTAAACAAACTTGTAACAATATTATTATCTTTATATTCTTCCAATTACTATTGATTTTCAATAAATAGATAGCTTATAAATAAGTTTATATTAATATTATATAAATTTTTATTATTGTAAATATTCTTTTTATTATGAGTAGAATACAAATTATTTCTTAAAGTTTCTTTAAAATGAAAAATTTTTTATTTGAAGCTAATAAAATAGTTTATTAAGCTTGTTAATAGTTAGAATTTCTATTAAATTTTAATTTGTCTTAAAAATTAATCATATTGGTTCTACAGAGATAAAATGAACATATTTATTTAATAAGTTATTGGACACAAAGTGCAAATAATTAGCTATAATTGTATTTCCTCGATTCCAGATTTGAATATCCATAGATATTTATTTGAATCTCTAAGAAGACATGCTTTAATCTAATAAAATAACAAAGTTCTTGCTTGTAATAATAATATTACTTGTGAATATACTATTATATTGATTAAACTTTAATGCATGCGCCTCTTCTTAAAATAAGTTTGTCTAATACGTGACTTCGTAAATAATTCGTATTTATTAATTTTCGCGTGTTTATGATAATTAAAATATTTCCAACGGTACTTATTTATCTCACTACAATCATGAGTATACGTAGTACGTACATGTACATGTATTGTGAGTTCCATACCCCTACCCTATTATCGTTATGAAAACTTTGATGCGTGTAGATCGATTCTGTGTTTAACATAAATGGAAGTTCTATGAAGATCTTTTAATGTATTAACGTTAACAGTTGAATTTTTTTGCCGGGTCGATAACGATAATAATGATTCTAATCCAATCATATTATCTAACTAGAAATAATTTATCTCGACGATTTTTCTGTGCATCCGTCGTCGTCAACAATAAATTAATAGAAACAAAATACCAAAGAACTATTAAATCATTACAGGGACAATTTCAAAACAAACAAGAAGATAGTTTAAAAAAGCAACCGAAACAAATCAGACAGTTCATAAGAAGACCGTGGCGCTCAAAAATTGATGTTTTCACTTTTCCAGATAATTCAAATTTCCCTAATCAAAAAGACAGAGAAAAAGAAAATGATAAACAAGAAAACGAACAAATCAATAATAAAGCAGAAACCATAACAGCGAAAAAATCAACGCCAATCACGCTCACTCAAATTCCAGTTCACTCTTTCAAAAAAAGCACTCTGCACGGATTTTTTCTCGAAATTAAACAACAGACAATCACGGCCTTCATGCCGAAAGGCTACCCATACTCGGTGGCGGATAATTATTTGAATTTTGCCAAGTGGCAGTTTATGCATAATGTCGCTGGATCGGTTACTGGCGGTATATAAAATTCATTAATTGAATGATTGAAAATTATTCACTTGATTTCTTATATTTATTGTTTTAATATAGTGTTAGCAACCCAATCATTGTTATACGGATTGGGTCTTGGCGCGAAATCAATTCCGGCAATTATTTCAATTTCAAATTTATCCGAATTATTTCATTCGAATTCTTTAAAATAATATTAAAAAATTTTCATAAAGCTTGCAGCAGCTTTAAACTGGATAATAAAAGACGGGCTCGGACAACTAGGTGGAGTAATCTATGCTGCATCCATCAGTGACCGCTTCGACTCTGAGCCTAAACGACATCGATTCCAATCAACGGTCGCGATGCAACTTGCGTCAGTCTTGGAATTGATGACGCCGTTGTGGCCAAATATGTTCTTGTTGATTGCTTCCGTTTCGAACATTGGTAATTATTCGATATTTTTGTTAGGAGTGAATAAATTTAAAAATAAATTTGATTTTTTGTATCCGTGCGAATAGGGAAAAATATTGCTTGGTTGGCTGGTTCGGCTACGAGGTATTTGTTCTACCGAGTAATTTATGTAAAATTTCTCGCTCACATCATACATATTTCTCTTTTGTTATTAGAGCACAAATGCATAAAACTTTTGCGTTAAGGGACAAGTAATATCACAACTAATCTTTTGTAATTGTGTTATTATTTTACGAAACTAATAATAATTTGAAATTATACAGTTTGGGTGATTTAACAGGAAAATCAGGATCTCAAACCACAGCTGCCGGATTACTAGGTAAATTCATTTCCCGCCTACTTCCTAAACCGATATTTAACATTAGTAATTGTTAGGAGCTGGAATTGGAATTACGATCAGTGCTGCAATTACGACTCTATCAACTTCGGCAGCTTCTTCTATAGCCATCGACTCAATCTCATCAACAACATTACCGGCGATCTACATTTTCGCGGCATTCATGCCATTCTCAGCCCTCAATCTTTACGCAAGCTATCAGTCAAGTCTTTATGTGACCAGTAGCACCTTGAATGTTCCTCGTGCTGAAATGATACTTCACGAGGTTCTCTTTCACCATTCACCGTTCTCACCATTGAAACTAGAAAAGTATCCAAAAATATCGGTATTCACACCACGAGAAATCTCTGTTCAGGAAGTCTTTGTTCGTCGATACCGATCCAAATTCAATATTCCCATCGTGATAGAACCCGCGTTGCACCAATACCCTTGTGATAAATACGACAAAGAACTTTATTCCGCGTTCCAGCAAGAAGGATTTAAACATCATGCGGAGTATTTCCTTTTGCATGTGTTTGACAAACATCATATTTTTGCAAATCGGCTGTCCTCACGATTTCAATATTTCTCGAATTCGAAAATTTTTGGAAACGAGCATGATACGTTGTGGAAAGATCCACGTTTTCAATTAAAGCTGAAAAATATTAGACAGCAGCAACACGTTGCGTTGTGGTTTTCGCAGAGAGCGAAACCAAAGGATATGATTAAAGGATTTGCGCATGCTTGTGCATTTAGATTTAGTTTAGATAGAAAAATACAAGAACAGCTGGAACAAGAACCAGAAAAAGTGTTTGATTATAAAGATAGCGAACAGGTCGTGAAAGTCGTGAATGATACGTATGATTGGGTTGATAAGGTTTCTGAAGAGTTGTTTGAAGGGTTGTTAGCAGAAAAGTGGGATATTGAGTATTTGTTCTTTGCCGAACGAGAAGATGGAAGATTGTTTGTTGAACGATAAAATATAATGAAATCTATGAGGTGTCTTGTTCAAGAATACCAATGATTCAGTACGTACTAGCAATTGAAGGTGCACTATTACATGTAAATGTACAAAAATAATATTTTAAAGAATTGAAAATAGGTACTAGGAAATCGAATAACGATGATTCTCCAATTTTAAATATTCTTTGTGAATTTCAGTGGGCAACAATTTTGACTAGAAAAAAAATCAAAAAATGAATTATTTATCCTTGAGATCAATATTATCTGTTTGCTAATTAATTACGATTTCATACTTTTTAAAATCCTTGTTTTAAATAATGGAAACAAAAATATCCTTTTTAGACTCAACCCATCCTGGGAAAACAGATATTGATATCCAAGACGACACTTCTATTACCAGATATATTTCCGTCCGGCCTACTCCCAATCAAAATCAACGAGCCAAAAGTGCAATATTGTGCTGTGATTCTAATAAGCTACCATCTAAGCCAAGAAGATGATGCACCGGTACCAACTGAACTCAACGAAGCCATTATTAAACAACTCACCGAGAAACATGGTATTCTACACGATTCTCATTGATCTTGAACCGGATGCGAGATCGGATTCGGCGAATGGTGATTTGATGATGATATTGTTATCAGTACAGCTGTTGCAGAAGAAAATTTTGTGGAAGTAGTGACTAGAGTTCAACCTTAGACGGGTCCAATTTCTAGTAGTGACCAAGTTATTTTATTTTTAATGGAAATTATTATATTAAAGATAAAATAAATCGAACTACTAAGAAATTGATTTCAATTTTTAGAATTGGCATATGGCGTAAAAGAAAAATCTACTCTCTTTGTTCATGCAAAAAAGACATTGCTACTCTAGAACAGATTCTTCAGTATGCTGATGTATCAATTAAATTTTTTTGATATAATTCGAAGTAACAACACAGAATTTTGTTACTATAATTATTATTTTTATATTATTCATCTCAACTTTTAACAATTATTTCTCAGATTTTCAGTTAACGTTAAGTAGCAATGCAATTGTATAAGATTTTTATCTATGAAACATTATTATATAAAAATTAACGCTTTGAATTCAGCAATTATTAATATTGAAACAAAAAAAAATGAATTACGATATAAAACCATTTTTTTATACTATCAATGTTTCAATTCCGACGGAATTCTTCAATCATAATTTGTTGGATATTAGATAAATTTTAAATAACAAGTTAGCCGTGGAAAAAAAAAGAATTACTCCTCCTGGTATTCATGGGGATAAAAGGAAAGACATTCTGCTTATGCTGTACAAAATATAGCAAGTGAATGAGGGGCCAAGAAAAATTCATTTCATTAAATCCTTTGGATTTTATGCGAATTCACTCTACTAGCAAATTGAGAGTTGTTAATTTAGCAATATAAATATTTATCGGAGCTAAATAAAATACTATAGTTATTTTCTGTGATCATTTAAAGCAGTTTGATAAAAAAAAAACGGAATGAAAGCATATTCAAAAATGATACATCTTCTCTAAAGCAATTTATTTAAGAAAATGATAACGTTTAATTAATATATCGATAGAATTCTAGGAAGAAACTGACAAACTAAATGTTTCGTACAATAGGAAACAACGTTGTTTATAAATTATCAATAAAACGTATTAAGCAATTGCTTTATAAATTTTAACACTATAAAAGTTATTTTGAGTGTATATTTTTGCTTATTTTGAATGGAATTGAATTTAATTACATTCAGTTAACTATGAAATTTAATCAAAATGTAGATTTTTTCAAAATCAAATGACTCAACTAACTCCCCTGCTCGATCGTGACCATTGTCATGAGCTTTTTTGTACCATTTTAACGCTATATCCAAATCTTTTGAGATACCAAATCCGTATTGATAACATTCAGCTAATTTAAATTGAGCAAACTTAAAATTAAGTTCAGCAGATTTTAAATAACATTCGAACGCTTTATTTTTATTGGCTTGTGTTCCAATACCGTTTCGATAACAGAAACCAAGACGACATTGTCCTTCAGCATTTCCACCCGCTGCTGATTTCAAAAACCACTCAAATGCTTTTTTATCATCAATTTGCGTCCCTATGCCATTAAGATAGTATAAACCAAGATTACCTTGTCCTTCAGCATATCCATCCTCTGCTGATTTCAAAGAATAATCAAATGCTTTTTTGTGTTCCTATACTTTCATCGTAACAATAACCAAGATTCAATTGCCCACTAGTATTTCCACCCTCTGCTGATTTTAAATACCACTCAAATGCTTTTTTCTCGTCTTTTTGCGTTCCAATACCTTCATCGTAACAATAACCAAAACTCAATTGTCCACTAGTATTTCCACACTCTGCTGATTTTAAATACCACTCAAATGCTTTTTTCTCGTCTTTTTGCGTTCCTATACCTTCATCGTAACAAAAACCAAGATTCAATTGTTCCACTAGTATTTCCACCCTCTGCTGATTTTAAATACCACTCAAATGCTTTTTTCTCGTCTTTTTGTGTTCCTATACCTTCATCGTAACAAAAACCAAGATTCAATTGTTCCACTAGTATTTCCACCTTCTGCTGATTTTAAATACCAATCAAATGCCTTTTTCTCGTCTTTTAGCGTTCCAATACCATTTCGATAACAATAACCAAGATTATATTGTCCGTCAGCATCTCCACCCTCTGCTGATTTTAAATACTAATCAAATGCCTTTTTTTCGTCTTTTAGCGTTCCAATACCATTTCGATAACAATAACCAAGACTAAATTGTCCGTCAGCATCTCCACCCTCTGCTGATTTAAATACCACTCAAATGCTTCTTCCTTATCTTTTTTTGTTCCTTTTTCATAACAATAACCAAGATTATATTGTCCACTAGTATTTCCACCCTCTGCTGATTTTAAATACCACTCAAATGCTTTTTTCTCGTCTTTTAGCGTTCCAATACCATTTCGATAACAATAACCAAGACTAAATTGTCCACTAGTATTTCCACCCTCTGCTGATTTTAAATACCACTCGAACGCTTTTTTCTCGTCTTTTAGCGTTCCGATACCATTTCGATAACAATAACCAAGACTAAATTGTCCGTCAGCATCTCCACCCTCTGCTGATTTTAAATACCACTCAAATGCTTTTTGCTCGTCTTTTAGTGTTCCAATACCATTTTGATAACAATAACTAAGATTGCGTTTTCCTCTAGCGTCTCCGCCCTCTGCTGATTTTAAATACCACTCGAATGCTTTTTCTCGTTTTTTTGTATTCCTGTACCAGTTTGACAGCAGAAACCAAGAATACATTGTATCCGAGCATCTCCATTTTCAGCTAACTTCAAATGCCAATCAAATATTTCACTATCTTTTCCTATTTTATTTTTCTATGCAGATAGCAAACTTTCGAAGTATTATCTTTTTTTGTATATAACTCTTCATAAATTAGAAAAATAATCCTAGGCTCAATGATTAATGTTATTTCATATTGATAACAAAAATCAACAAGTAATTCGTCTTTATAAATAGATAGTAGTGACGTTCTTCTGCTGATATCAATCTTATGTTGACTCATGTCTTGGATTATTGATTTCATACTTAAAATTATTGCTTTCAATTCTTCAGTTTCGGACGAAAACAATCTTCGAAAGATAGCTGATAATCCATTGTGGAGTTTGGAATCATCAAATTCATCACTTTCTTTTGTTTTCATAGCAGAAGCCAAAGGTGTTAATAGCGATAGTTTCTCCGTTTTTTCGG